AAAATGAAGCTTAGCTCTTAAATATAAAATGAACTTGCCCAACATAGTATTTCTGAACTGTAACTCTTTGTACCTTGTTATGCTAAATGTTAATAGTATGGCTCCACTGGGGATTGGAGAACAGACATTTTCAGAAGTTTGTCTTTGCCGTCCTTACTCCATGGCTATCTAATGCATCATGTAATCAGTTCTTCCAGGATCTGCCTTGCTGCAACAGGTTTTTTTCCCATGTCCTTTGCTCAGCCTAAGCAGTTAACAAGGAAGGGAGGAGACAAAAGATTACATTTCTCTTCTGAGCAGCTTAGTAATGTTGAGAGAAGAAATGTATTTTTGATAGAATGGAGTAAGCTTGAACCCTTTATTTTATTCTGATAAGAATCAAACAAGTTTTCTTTCTGCCTTTTCCATAAATATTCTTAGAATACAATTTTTTTTAATTTAAATAGCATTCAGTTTATTTCAAATATTTAGTATTGCTTCCCATATTCCCCCTGTTTGTTTTTATCATAATTATGTTATCATCTAGATAAGCATGCTTTATACACAAACAAAACAAATTAATAAACTCAAAGAAATACTTTCAAAAATCTCCATATGATCAGAAGGGTTCAGGTTGAATATTCCTTGAAAGTTTGTTTTAATTGTCCTATTGCCACAGTGCTTGTCAAAACCAGTTTTGATTAATATCCTTTGTCATTGTGTCCTTTGCCATTCCCTATCACTCCTCCCTGAGAGAGATTTCACCCTGATTCATAAGGAAAAAGTTCGCTGTAGGTTTCAGGGTGAAGATCTCTCACTACTCTAAAGGTCCCCTTTGGCAATAGGAAACACGTAGATTATTAGAATACAATTCTTTTAGAACTGTCAATCCATGTGACATTTCTGGTTTGCCTAGATCATTGGCCACTCATAAAGGAAGTTTCAGGTGCTTGTGTTTGAAGTAATTTCTCTTTGTCTTTATGTCCCTGGCAATTGATGAAGCCCTTTAGTCTCAGCTCTAAATTCAGCTACACAGATTGCTAGATTTGAGTATTTACACTGGTTTCCCATGAAAATCCATCATGGAATCCTGTGCTATTTATCTGAAGGTAGTAGTTGATTTTGGTAAAAATTAAAGAATATAACTATTGAAATCTTTAAATAACTATAAATCCATTCTTGGTGGTTAGTTCTAGCAAATAGTTTCCTAATATCTAAGTGTTAAAGACAGGAAACCAGTAGCCTTATTTTATTGAACAGTTTTTTTAAAGGATAATTGTGTGATTGTATATGTGTGTGTTTTGAAAGAGACCATCAGAATGCAAGATTGGCCAGTGAGACTGATTTCTTGATCATATGAACATAATTCTCAGGCATGAATCTCTGTGGTAGTCCACTGTCTTTAACCTTGAACTTTCCATATCTATGTTTCCCAAAAGCTTGTAAGTCATCAGTCATAGGTAATGGCTGCAGGAAGCAGGAGAGCAACTAGATGGCTCTGTATAATCTAAGAACATGACCCTAATCGTTTTAAGGATAAAAACTTGCTTTCTTATGAAAGTCAAGCAAGGCTCTTAGAGTCTCCAAAAGAATTGTCTGAGCTCCAGATTACATCTTTCTGTCTGAGTTAAAGAAGAGGAACAGATATCTTGATTTCAATGTTCTCTTTCTGTGGAGTCTAATCTTCATAGGCCCTATGGATTTTGTTTCTTATCCATCATTAAGCAATACCAGGAAGAGAACAGAATTTAAAGTTTACATAAAAAATCAGGGGGGGAAAAACCCAACAGTTACAAATCAGAAAACATTGCTAAGATTCAAAGGGGGTCACTGAACTTTTAGTGTTTTGCTAATTGCCTAAGTTCCAACTTTAATTTTTTTATTGCTAGAAATGCCATTTTCCAGAGTATAGCCTTCTTGTTAAATTTTATACTGTCTGAGAAAAAAAAAGGATCTCTTAGTTTAATTCTCATAAGTAAACTGGGATATAATTTACACATTTGACTATAGGGAAATTTTGAGATAATGTATAAAGTTAGCATCAAGGAAATTCATATGCATAAAACATTTCATGTAGAATGTGCTCTTTCCCCTATCTAATGATAATTAGGGCAATAGAACTACTTGACAAATATCCAGCTAACTGAAGATAAGATAAATGTTACCTAGAAATGAAATATGGCAAAGCTTTTATAAGAAACTCCTTTCATTAACTATTTTACATGAACAAAGTTCCAAATAAACTGATTGCTTTTTTTTTTGTGTGTGTGGGGGTGGTGACAGTAAGTTTCTGAACTTTTTAATAGTTGAAGGAGTATAATAAACTGTTCAGGTCTTGACTGCTTTATAGGAAAGAATCTAAGGGGTTTTGTATTTTTATTTTATATTGGAAGAATGTACGTTTGATTAATGTCTTCATTCTCAAAGTTAACTCACTCAGTTTTCCTATACCCATGGTCTTTATCCCTTAAAACATTGCCGCAAATGACGGCCATAGCCATCTGGCACATGTTTCTAAGCATGCGCTCGTCAATTTAAAAGTGTGCAGCAACTGTGTTAATACTCTGCATAATGCTAACTGCTATTTGTCACTTTGCTAAATTAATCATGTATGTTATTTCACTTAATTCATTAGGGAATCTCCCCAATTCTATAGGTGGAAAAACACAGAATAAGTAACTGTAGTAAGTGGAAGAATTCGAATTAGAGCTCAGACCTGAGGGCCTCCCCTGATTAACTGCCTCTGGTATGATGAACAATTGCATTGGAACATAAATATAATCCAAATTCTCTGGCAGATGCTGTCCAGATGAATTGTGAACTTTGTCACTCTTATCTGCCATAGAAAATCAGAGTCTGCTTTTTAAAGCAATGTTTATTGAGGGATAGAAATGGTCCTTAAAATGGCTGATGTACAGGGCCACAGAACTGGGTACATTGTTACATTGTTGGGCTAGGAGCTAAAAAGTTACAAAACACATAACTGGCTTTAAAAGACCAAGGGGAGGGAGAGAACTGTTTGGAAGGGATATATGATTGGGTATTATTGTCATGACAGGAGTCCAGAATGAAGGCTGCACAGTGGAGTGGACTTGGGGGGAGGGATTGTATAACAATGAAAGAATTTTTACTTTTCAAAGAGAAGAGGGAATTAGGCAGGAGGGGATGGGCAGGGAGAGAAGTACAACAATGAATGAATGGAAACCCTAAGTCTCTATCTTGCCAAAATAACATCAATTACTCTTACCAACACTCTTGGTCCCAGCAGCCAGGAAATAAAAAGATGAATTGCATAGGGAAAGTCTGCTGTCAGAGACCTCACCAAAGTACTAAAGAGCAATGTCAGTCTGGAGACTAAGGTGTGCCTGATCCAGGCCAGTCTTTGCATTTACTTTCTATGCATCAGAAAGCTGGACAATGACTAGGGATGATAAAAGGAGACTTGATGCCTTTGAGCTATGGTATTGGAGAAGAGTGTTGAATATACCATGGACTGCTACAACAACAAACAAGTTCATCCTAGAGAGGGTGAAACCAGGCCTAGTCCTTGGAGGCAAGGATTCTGAGGCTTTGTCTGACATTCTTTGGACATGTTGCAAGGTGGGACCTGTCTTTGGAAAGGGACGTCATGCTTTGGAGGGTGGAGGAAAAAGCACAAGGGAAGAATCCATCTCTATGAGATGGATTGATTCAGTGACCAGGTTTTTGTGGCTAGGTGTGTCAGACAATAAAATTGGCACAGGATAGAGCAGGGTTTAGGGCTGTTGTACATAGGGTCACTATGAGTCGCAGGCCATTCGATGACACAAGCAAAACAAGCTCATAAACAGCAATTGTTGTTTGAGCATGTGTTTTCTTGGCTGCAATCTTAATAGCAGATCACCAGACCTATCTCCTGTGGTACAACTGAGTGGGTTTGAATGAGAAGCCTATCAGAACAAAGAATTGCAAGTAATATATGTAGCTCCTGTCTGTGAACTGGTGGTCTAGTGGGTAAGGAGTTGCAGCCCAAAGGAACATCATGCAAATCTAGTAACTGTTCCATGTGAGAGAGTGCTCCCCACTGCCTCTAAATATCTGCTGGGAGCTCTGCTGCTGCTCTCTTCTGACCCAGCAGCACAGCATAGCACAGAGAACTGCCTCATGAGGGCTGTAAATCTTTATGGAAATAGACTGCTTCATCTTTCTCCTGTAGAACAACTGGCACATTTCAGTGGTGACTTTTCTGTTAGCACAACGACAGTCAAACACATGCTATTTGGGCACCTTGGGACTTAAGACTATGAATATCTACTTGGAATGTTAAAGCTATTCCTTCCTCCATAATTTGGAGAAAGGGATCCATAAATAAAAGACTGGCAGAGATCTTACTCCTTGGCTTAAGTACCAGATTGATTTTTTGCAATAAAATAGACACATGGTTGTAAAGATACTAAACTGAATGTTCTCTTGTCTGGACATAATTTAATCTAGAATATCCAATTATTCTGTTGATAGTATTTTTAACTCTAAGATCCTGCTAGGATTGAGACTGTATCTGACTTACTGGCACAGCACTTGCCTAAAGCAGTAAGAGACCTTTCTTTGAATTTTAATTACCTGAAGCCTAGTTGTCTTATGTGAAAATGTATCCTTAGTAGATTCCTTTTTTTTTTTTTTCACAAATGGTCAGCTTCTTGAAATCCAAAAGACTTACTACTCTTCTTTATTTTATATTTAAATTTGAATATGTCTGTTAAAGGAACAATTCTGCAAACTAAGAAATGGTTAGTGCATGTCCCTTTTGCACAGTCTCCAAAAATAAATAATCCCTATTAGTACAAGTCATATCTACTTCCAATTCTGAGTAAAGTTGCTAGAACAGCATTCATTTAATGAATGAAACTATTTAGGCATACAAAATATATCATGAAGTACAGGCTATAGCTTTAAAAAATTAACAATAGTTGCTTTTTCTTAAAGGATCTTCTGTTGAGTCAGCATTTCCCAGGAGGAAAATGGATCACTCCCATCATACAGGGATGAGCCATATGGACCACATGGACCACAACAGTACTACTTCATCCCCATCTCCCTCCCATGGTGACATGATGGTAAGAACCACAGGAGAAGCAGCTTGGGCCCTTTCTCATTTACTTCTGTAATTAAAATCATAATAGCATTTTAGTACTAGAAAGCTCTTATATAAGATCAGTTTACTGAGAAGAAAAACTAAAGTAGACCCTGTTAAGTGACTTGCCTATGATAATTTCTGATCATTATATCAGAAAGTTGATGGTGATGGCAAAGGAGGATACTTTTTCGTTTTCTGTGGTAGTAATTTCAAGGAGGAAAGTCTCCCATCTCAGGGACCTTCATTATCCATATCTGCTCTATTTGAATGTTGTGAAATTTTCACCTAAATATCATTTAGGCTCTTTATCATCTCTAATTGGCTTCTTTTTGTTTTGAGCAGCATATGACCTTCTACTTTGGCTTTAAGAATGTGGAACTATTATTTTCTGGTTTAGTCATCAATACAGTTGGAGGTGAGTGCCATGGGTGGGGAGGGGTGTTGAAGATGATGGTCACATGCAATACAATGAAGTCCTACTAGGAAAACTAGCATCCTTTCCTGCCATAAAGACTGAAACAGTATATATTTTTTTAATAATTTTTTTTACAGAGGTTTTGGATTTCCATTCATTCATTGCCGCAATTTTCTCCCTTCCGACCCCTCCCCACCAGCTCGCTTCCCCCTCCGAAGAGAGAAAAAAAAAAAAAGAAAAAAAATTCCTTCATTAGTATACAATTCCCACATCCCTTCCCCCCCCCCCCCACCCCGAGTACACTTCTCTCTGCAACCTTAATTCTGGATTCCTGTGCTAACCATAATACTCAATCATATATCACTTCTAATCTGTTCTTTCCCTCATCTGTTTCAATACAATATACATAATTTATCCAGTTTTTTCTGTCATACCCCCACCCTGATGTCAGACCCATTCTACAACAGTGGCACCATGCAGTATTTGTCCCTTTGTGACTGAGATATTTCACTCAGCATAATGTCCTCCAGGGTCACCCACTTTGAATAATATTGCATGAGTTCCTTGTTTTTTAATGCTGTGTAGTATTCCATTGTGTGGATATACCACAGCTTCTCTATCCATTCGTTTGTTGATGGGCCCTTAGGCTGCTTCCAACTCTTTGCTATTGTAAACAAAGCTGCAATAAACATGAGTGTGCATATATCTGCTTGGTGAAACAGTATATTTATGATGACACATAACAATCTTGGTTTCTATTTCCTGCCTAGAAAGTGAGGGTATTCATTTTGGTCTTCTGGTATACCTTCCTTAAATAGTATGTCTAGAAATAATTTCAACAATGATAGACACATCTTACAATCTATACTTACACACTTTTCCGGAATATTTCCCTATTTGATAAATTAATTGCCCCGAACACAAGACTATAGAAAAATTTAAAGACCATAAGAAGCATTCCGTAGATAGTTTATAATTCAAAATGACTCATAACTGACCCTTTGAACTAGACCATAGTCCCAGGTATATGATCTCAACTACCCTTTCATTTAGAGAGAAATTAGACTCAAGATAGTAAAATGACTTGCCCTAAATCACACACCATGTCAGCTGTCTATGGGCAATATATATATATATATGTGTGTGTGTGTGTATATACATACATACATACATACATACATACATACATAATAGGTGATGTAGTCAGAAACAGAATAGCACTCTTGATTTTTGTTTTTATAGCTTATCAAACTGGCTACTTATTTTGTACATGTTTGGCAATACCACTGTCTCTTCTTTCTCTATTATAGAAATGGCAGGAGCTTTTGTAGCAGTGTTTTTATTAGCAATGTTCTATGAAGGACTCAAGATTGCTCGTGAAAGCTTGTTGCGCAAGTCACAAGTCAGCATCCGCTATAATTCCATGCCTGTCCCAGGGCCAAATGGAACCATCCTTATGGAGACACACAAAACTGTTGGGTAAGAAGTGCTGGTGGGCATTCTTGACTTAGTCAAGCAGCAAAACTATAACCTTCACCTTGAGCTAGCAATTCTGACCTTAATCCAAACTGTCTTTGGAGGTTGATTATGAGTCATGAACGCACTAAAGGGAGAAATAATGGGAACTTTCCTGCAAGTGGGAATGTTTGTTACTGTCATTCATTTTGGAGTAATAAACACAAGTAAAAAGCATTCAGGTCAGGGCATAGAAAAAAAGTTGTTCTAAAAAAATTTTTCAAAAAAAATTTATAAAAAAAAGTTGTATACACCCGACTCTTCCTCATAAACTTCCAAGAACCAAAACAGAATGTTCAGATACACCAAGTGAGTTTAGCATGACTATAAGAGAGTCCTTTTCATGCTGGACTCATCTCTAAAACCCTGTTCCCTGCCCCTCCCCTTGTCCTGTAGAGCTACCTAAGCACTTCGGTGTCTCTAATCATGTTCCTGTTAACTTTTCAGGCAGCAGATGCTGAGCTTTCCTCACCTTCTGCAAACAGTGCTGCATATCATCCAGGTGGTCATCAGCTACTTCCTCATGCTCATCTTCATGACCTACAATGGCTACTTGTGCATTGCTGTCGCAGCAGGGGCTGGCACGGGATACTTTCTCTTCAGCTGGAAGAAAGCAGTAGTTGTAGACATCACCGAGCATTGCCATTAACATCAGACTCCCATGATGTGGCCTTATCAATTGCAACAAGAAGCAGTTTGAGACTGGAAGATGTGATTCCTACGCCTTTCTTTTCTTGCTCCTTGTCTTCTTACACACACACACACACACACACACGCACACGCACACGCACACGCACGGCTCAACACAACAGTAGTCTTTTCAGCTCAAGTAGCAATCTCCCCACACTTTCCCCCTCCTAATCTGAGATTCTCATTTTGAGGATACTCCAACCATGAGCTGTCATCTCCTCCCTATTTTAGACTCAAGCTCTATGTTCTTGACTAATCCAGATAGCTGACATGATTTCCTAATTCATTGACATGATCTCCTGATTTCTTTGTAATTTGAGGGTGTTTCTTGGGGGTTGATTTGTTTTGTTTTTAAAAACAGATGTTGCAAATTTGGTTTTGTTCTGGGTGAATGTTATTTACTTCAGCCAGTATTGACAGGATCTAAAGAAACATCTTACCAACTAAATCTGGAACCCAATAAAAATCGTTTGGGGGCTCAATTACTGGGACATACACTGTGCCTTTCAAGTGTAATGTGTTGTACTAAAATCTTTGCAATATTCAGAATGGTGTTTTGAGACTTCAGTCTGGAGTTTGCAAAAGTGTGCATTCCTGGGAAACTGTTTTATCAGTTTATATCTCAACCTTTAGAATAGAATAATTTTACCAGTAATTTTTTTTAAAATGACAATCAATTTGAGTACAGAGAGATTTAAAAATAAAACTATCAGTATTTTACTTAGACTTGGTACCTTGGCATGTCATAGTAAATGAAGCAAGAGAGGTTAAATCACTCATTTCCCTTTGTTTTCCTGTCTGCCTCCACGCTAGTTTAACTTTAGCATGCATCAGAATCACCTGGAAGGTATGTTAATGTTAATCATGTTTAGGGCCTTAGCCCCAGAGCCTCAAATTGGTGTTTCTAACAAGAAACTCCTATTGGTCTAGGGACCAAGCTTTGAGAATCACTGCTTTTAACTGGGCTTCTAACTTGCTTCCTCTTTTGGGCTCCCTGCTGAGAAAGCCGAATAAAAAGAGTCCCCTGGAGATCTTAACACGTAAATTTTACTAGGCATATCTGGGTGAGCCACTTTGTATTGGGACTGGAATTAGAATTGCTGGTTGGTAGGCAGTATCTCTGGGCTAACCTCATGAAATTCTGCTGGTCAATTACTTAAATCATTCCATAAACACTTCCAACTATGTGAATGTGTGCTTGAACACATGTGTAAAGAGTTCACAGTACCATTTATCAGCATGTCTGAAATCACTAGTCTTAAAAGATGCATGGTTTTGGTGGAGTGTCTTAACAGTTGTAAGATAAAACTTCTGACCTCCAGTATAAATACATCTGTGTTTAGTCAGAAGGGTGAAAGTGCATTCTTTCCTTTGGAGAGGCTTAGGGTGTGGTCCACTGGTGGCCAGCTTACAACATCCATTCCCACACCCTCATCTTCCACACTACCATCATCACTCTGTTACTTCAGAGTTTAATTACATCACAAGCGGCCAAAAATTCTGGTCTCCTTAATGAAGAATCCATATTGGATTTTATCTTTGGTTGTTTATCTATATCAGTCTTGTTCCCAGTTCAAACTACCTCTGTAAAGTGACTCTTCCAGTGCTGTCTATTAAATCTTGCCCTCCTTGGTGCTAGACTATAATTGTGCCTCAGGGCAGAAAAAAACAACACAAAACAGGTATTCTGTTGTGGTTTTGAGGTTGGGTGCCAGTTAAGCAAAGAATTAGGTACTTCTATGGCTTTAAATCAAAAAGTTATAAGCCAACTAGATTAAGGTTAAAATCCAGGAACCTACATTTAAAGCCTCTTATTCAATTCTTCGTTACTTATATCAGCTAAGCATGAACAAAGTGAATGGCAGAGTCCCAACTACAATGTAAATAGCCTGTTCTTGTCCGAGACACTAAGGAATGAATAATAAAACTATATTCAGTAAGCCTGATTAGCTCTAGACGTCTTGGCAGGTGCTGCTATAAAGTACTCTTCCAGAATCAGTACCCTTATTTAAGAAGGCTAGGAAAAATCAATTCCAGTTAAGTGCTATGAATTTAAAGTTCACAGAAACACCAGTTTGGTCTTCGGTTATTCAGGGTAACAGAATCTCATGGAAAACTTGAATTTCAGAGATTATTAGACAAAGTTGCCAAAGTATGAAACCAGTGAATGAGATGCCATTCTATTGAGTTCTTAGATTGGATTGTGATAATAAAATGATCATTTGGGATTTAGTGTCTCACTTCTTTTGAACTAAAATCCACCTTCCTGTTCACATCTATTAAGAACCCCATTTCTTTGATCCCTTCTGTCCTTTTCCCTTTGTCTTTCACTGATTTCTAGTTTATGCTGCAGTGGGAATAAATACCAACCAAAATGTCTAAACCTGCTAGAGACCATGTTTCAAGGAGCAATTAGCCCAGTGGAATTTTTGGAGTGCTAGGTAAAGGGCTACGTGGTACCATCCTCACAGCTAAGACATTTTGTGGTGCTGTCCCCAGTGTATGATGAAAAGAATGCTCAGCTCCTGCGTTTTGCCCCTAAATGGAATTCTGTGGCCACCAGTGGGTTTGAGATTACCGTTTGGTTTTTTTTCCACTACTATGTTAGGGTAGTCTGGATTGCTTTTGCTGCTTCTTAGAAAACATTGTGGGACACTTGTCTTGGGTTCTAGATTCAAGGAGCTGGAAGGGCAAGAGGTAGGTAATACTTTTGGGTCATAAAGTTTTTTTATCCTGCCCTCTGGCTGCTTCTAAATGACATCTAAAGACGATAAGTCATTGCATTTCATATAATGCCTTAATCACTGGGTTTATAATTTGTTGACTGTTTTAGATTGTAAGCTCCTGGAGAGCAGTACTGCTATAGTAGAAATGTTTTAACAGTGTCATGTGCAAAGAATATAATAAATATTTTGATTTTGTGATTCTATACATGACTTGATAGCAGAATTCACTAATCTCATAATCCTCAGTCTGGTAGCAGGATAAGCATGGATTTGGGAGTTAAGCATGCTGACTCAACACATTAGGCAAGTTGTTTTAATAATCTCTATGCTTTAGTTTCTACCTTTATAAAAAGGCGTTAAGAGTTATTTGAATTGTTACTTGTTATGTTCCATGGAGTTGGAACCAACATTTTAATCACTAACTCTTTATGTTACAACTCCTGACCCCTAACCACCAGAGCTCCCTTATTTGAATTAAGGGCAATAAATGTCAAGTAGGGCGCACTAGTTACCTCGTGGTTAGGGAGCTGCACTACCAAATCGAAGACAAGCAACACAATCAAACCCTTTGGCTCTGAGGGAAAAGGTGGGCAACCTCCCATGAGATTTACAGGCTCTGAAAACCCGCTGGAGGGTCAGCTATGAATCCGTTCTATTTCAATGGCAATGTGTTGGTTTGGGGTTTTTTTTATGTTGAGCAGTTGCAGATTCAAACCATCCACCTGTTGAGCAGTGCAACTCTACCAACTCCAGGCGAGCTCTGGTGTTTGTATAGTAAAGTTCTGTTCCCAATCCACAGGCAGTCAGATATGAGTCCATTCTGACTCCATGGTACACAATAAACTTACTGCAGCTTTTGGGATACAGTTGGTATTCTTTTATAAGCACCTGATCATATTTTTCTAATTTTGGGAAGATTGAAATGAACAATAGTAGTACAGAAATAATGCGTAGAAGTACTGCCAAAAAAGACGTTGGTCTAGTCAGTGTCTCCTTTTTTAAGAGAATTTGCGGAGAACTGAAAAAGCCGCTTCTTACTCTTCCCCTAGTAGCCCTACTTTCTTAGACTCAGTTACTGTCTTCCCATTTAGCACTTGTCAGTCCACTGGTACCTAGTTTTATGAGATGTTGGCTATTGCTGAGGATTTGTTTTATGTGATGAGTCACTTTTCTGTTATTATTTCCAAGTTTCTCTTTGTTATGAAAAAGTGTAGTGAGGAAGCTCAGAAGTGGGGGCTCAGAAACCACAGCTGCCTGGGTCAAATTTCATCTTGACCACTTAACATTAATTTCACCTTTTATAAAACTAGGCTAAAGTAGTTTCCTCAAGATTAAATGAGGTAATATGTAAATAAATATATAACATAATATATATGTAATATATAACAAGTTGTAGAATTAAAAATACACTAAAACTTGAGTGTTGGCTATTAGGTAGGGATAAGGAGGAGAACAGGTACAACTATACCTCTGTACCTGTTCAACAACCAATCCTGCTGGAAAACAGTCACAAGGACTAAGGCTATCTTATTCTTCCTCTGCCTTTGCAGGTTTCACAAGAATATGCTTTCCCTGTCTGAAGTTTTGAGATAAACAGAATTTAAAGTCCTAAATAAAACAGGAAGAATAAAGGTTTTGTATTGTATACCAATGTCCATAGCAATGTTATTCACAATCTCAAGAACATAGAAACAGCCTAAATGGCTAACCACAAGTGAATGGCTTGAGACACTGTGGTACATTCACACAATGTAAGGCTATGCAGCACTCAGACGCAGTGATTTAAAAAATTACTGAATAACTTGAGCGAGACTGGAGGGCATTAGGCTGAGTGAGCCCAGTATCATAAGGCTAAAAACTGCATATGGCCATTATTGTAAAAACAGAAGGAGAATTACTAATGTGCATGGGAACCCAAGGGGGAAAGAGTGGAAACAATGGGGTAAGAGTGAGCAGGGGGAAAATTATAGGGTTGCACAATCTGGTGGGTGGAGGGAGGAGTAGTAAAGGAAATGGGAAAGATCTGGCAGGGATCTGGAAAGACAGGGTAATGAAAGGCATGGTTTATTGGTGAATGATTTTATAAAATGTAATGAGAATGATTGTATGAAAAAAATGTGAATGAAGGGTAGTGTAAACCATAATGTATATGAACTTTACAAACAAAAAAATAATGTTTTCTATAATGGTTAGAACAAGAAGAAACTAAACCCTTCTGTCCCTACCTCTCCCA